TGGACCCTCTACAGCTTGCAGGGAAATAATTTTGTTTAGGTGTTACCTTTGAATCTTATATTTAAAGAATAACATTATGCTCTAAAGGAAGGATCTGAACAGATTTTGGGTGTGAAGCTCCTTCCTGGGCTGGCAGCTGACAGTAGGCAAAGGTGAAAGACACATCCACAGAAAACAATTTACAACAGCAGGGTCAAGGTCATACTGTATCTGATTCAAAGCTGGGAAAGCAAAACTGGTTCCACCCACTCTGAAAACTGCCAACAAGTTAAGAGATTCACAATGCAATGATTGCATTGCTCCAATATTCTGGAGGAACAGACTTTCAAGAATGAAGATAAAACCGTGTCTCATTTCAGGTGGTCTGGGAATCCGAGTGCTCTACAACAATAAATAGAAGTGGCACAATAGCTTGGACTTCCACCCTGCAATCTCAGGCATAGGCATGTGAACAAGGGTGGGCAATGGCATGACAGAGGGACAAGCTACTGCAAACTGCCTTTCATTTCATTCAGTTTTCCCTTGGAACTGGCACTCAGTCCAGACTTCTCTCAAAGTCAGCTGAATGGCAGCAACCATAATCCTGTGGAGATGCAGCAGTTAAAAAAGTGATCATGGTAACTTGCAGGGGAATCTCATACTTTTCTTTTGATATTTCAGGATAGTATGCAAGTCAAAAAATTTCTGCAGTTGCAGCAGTGTGCCAATTTTAAGTAGAACTGAGGAGTATCCAGAAAGATTAAATGCACACATTATTTCTGCATAACCAAAGGCCAACAAGTGGGAGAAAGTTTGGCTTCTTTTCCTGGATTAGTTACAGTAGCTAGGATCAGCTGAGTAACTTTTAGGGCTAGATATGAAGTGTGGGTTTCATGTGTCACTCTGCATAATTTGGTGAATTTGGTCTACTCAGTTAGTTATTAGCTCAGGACCAATTAGATGTAGTCGTGGCTCCTGTATGCAAGGAAGGAAATAGACATCTCAAAATGAATTTGCCTAAAAAGTCAGTTAAAAAGTACAAATGGGGAACTAACAAAAAGAGGACCTGGAGATTTACATTATATTAACTCTCGGAGAGATTATTAACTCAGTGATTCATCCAATTCATGCCTAGCATGCTCAGAGAGAACAAGTTAGAAAAGACAAAGTTAACGGTGGAGTCTTTTTGTTTTTTTTCTCTCTCTTTTTAAACACTCAACCTGTCTAGGAAAGATATAGAATAAGGATTTTGAAATTTATGGGCCAAATTCTGCTGTCACGTACTGTCTCATTGCCTTCAATGGGCCCTATGTGTTTTCAGAGGATCAGTGCACGTCAGCGGAAGCAATCCTGTATTTCAGTTTACAGACCAGTTTGACTATAATGTGCTATGTCAAAAAATGATTTTTAGAAAAATTCTGCTTACACAGTGTCCTAGGCCTCATGCCAGAACTGGTGGATCCAATCCAGTCATTTATGTTCTAGCAGAGGCGGGAAGAAATTTTGACTAACGTATACAACTCTCTGGGCACAGTGCACTAGATGCCTGCAGACTGGCAATCGTGCATGCGGAGGCTGGCACTTGGGCAGAGTACAAGAGTGTTGCACTCAAACGCCTGTTTCTTTGGAACCATTCGAGCTATTAGCCTGGAAGTCAGAGTTTGAATATCTGGAGACTTGCACACCCTCAATATAAACAGCTAAGGAACACAAAAACACTTTATATAACTGCATACAAAAGGAGCTTTCTGACATTCAGAATCCCCGTAAGCGTAAAAATGTAAGCTATGTTTGAAGATACTTTCCACTCCATCATGTGAATAGACTAGCCCAGATGCTGTATTTCTGTGGGATTAGTTCATCCCCTAAAGGCTCAATCCTGTCAACTGCTGAATATTTCCATATTTATAAAATAAAAGTTTCCAGGAGTGATAGGTTATTGGAATCTCTTGGGACCAGGCCATAGGAGTCTGAAATCACTCAGCCTCTCTCTTCTGGCCAGCTGACCAGTGACTATGAAAATTAGTTTGTATAGTTTGTTCATATTAAATGTCTAAAGAAATGTCTCTACAGTCCTTCTGTATTATTTAGGGGTGCAGGTGATGCCATACCAGGTTGGGAAGACAATTACCCCTAGATTTGCAAAAACATCTTCTAGGAGTGTGTGCAGGTATGAGTGAATGTGTATTGAAGGAACCTTGTCTGCCTGTGTATTGAAGATGCATTTATATTATACATAGAATATATAGTATAAAGCAATACATATAATATCTATTTAATGCATATTGACTACTTATGTAATATATGTACATTAAAAGCCTTGTCTAGAGAAAGAGGAACCTAAATAAAAACCAGTGAGATTAAGGATTCCATTAAATACTGAAATACAGTAGTTGCATGTGCTGGGGAAACAATCTTCACAAATGCCTAAGAAGCACAAGAATGCAAGTCCCATTTTCAAAAATAATTTAGGTTCCTCAGAGTATAAGTCTTACAAAAAAATCAATTGGCTTTAATGCTTGAGTAATTATTAAAAAACAAGACCATGGCTCTTCTGTGATTTAGGCACTTCTGAAAATCTTAGCTCAATTGCATTGCAGACATTACACTTTTGAGTAGGCTAGTAGGACTACAGAGTCAAATTGCTACCCTCACCCACATGCCCCTATTTGTGAAGCTGATTTTATTTTAAGGATGTTCTATGAATTCCAAATTCCCTGAGCTGTAGACAGTTTTTATTTGCAGTTCAGTATTAGGATGTACTTATTCCTAAAAAAAATACTTCCTATTTCCTTAAGTCCATTTGAAATAAGAGAAATGGCAAGAAGTATTTGCTTATGCACCCATCTTTATTTTAGGTGCTGTTTGACTCCTGGGCATAGGGCCAAGTGCTTTATTCTTACATAGTTCTCCTTCAGAGAAGATACAGAGGAGCTGGAGGAAATAAATGCCTGTAACATTCAAGTAACTGCAGAGGTGTGACAAGTGGTACGGGAAGGATTTCACCTCCTTGCTCCTGACAAAACTCTCCAGCGCAACACACAGCTGTTTGCATTCGTCTCTCCTGCATATTTATCCATCAGACTAAAGGATACTGTCCAACAAAGTTCTTGCTCTTACAAAGTCACTTCTTGTGATGCCTATATAAGATTTGGCTATTACTACTAGTTTTGGGTTTGGTTTTGTTTTTAACATAGCCTTTCTTGATTTTAATGATCACTTACCTCAGATGGGTTGGGTGGTTCAGCTGAAAAAAATTCCTCATAGAAACCCTGCATTTTAAGACTATTCATCGCCTTCCTCTTGACTTCATCTGGTTTTATCTGTAACACAGTGTGTTAGTTAGTATAAGGTTATGATATGCATGACATAACCTGTCTTCAGAGGCAGGGGCACAGAGGTCAGAAGCAGGGAGGTAGGGAATGCATTAAAACTTCTTGGGTGAAAAGAAGCACAGGTAACAGATTTTTGTTTTTTCAGGACAGCCCCAGTATAACTATTTGATTTAGTTTTTTCAGCACACTATCATGAATTAGCTGTTTAAATTACTAGCATATATTCTTGCTTATAATGCAAATGCAATGAGAACGTGTTGCACTTGGACAATCAAATGTAGTTGTCCAAGTAAAGCTCAACCTTTAAAGTTTTTGATAATTTTTTGTACTTAAGGTTTTACATAATCATCTCCCCTTAAGAGGTACGAAACAGCCTTGCTGCACTTTTCATTTGGGGACCTGAAAGATTATTCACCTAAGCCTCACAGCTCCCTCTGAGATACAAAAGCATTACTATCCCCAGTTTTACTGAAGGGGAAATGAGGGACAGAAATGTTGTAGGAGCTTGTCCAAAGTCACACAAGGAGCCTGAGGCAGAGCCAGGCACTGTTTCCAGATTGCCTCATTCCCCATCCTAGGGCCATGTGACTAATTGTCCTACATAATGTGATAAACTGTGCAAGAACCTCAGTTCTTTCAACATACCAGATATTTACATGTGTATTTCCTAATAGTAACAACTTGGCTTGTCTACACATTGCCACAAATTGAAAGCAGGAAGGGCAAATTAGTACGTGACTGAAATGTTCAAAATCTTCTGTCTCCATAAGAACAAGAGAGCTAGTTTAGTTTAAAATATTCTCCTCTCAAGAGTTATTCAATGCGCACAGAAACCGTGAGATGCACCCTCATGTACAAGTTCTAATTTGGTCCCATGATCTTAGTGCCCTGGAGACCATAGTTGCACTAGATTTAAGGGCAGATATCAATTTTAAGTGACTGATATCTTAGTTTTAAGTACTACAGACATAAGAACATTTTGATATCATTGGTGATTTTTTCATCTATTGATATCAGAATGATTTATTTAAATTCTCTGTTAAGCTAGTTGCAAAATAAAAAGTGATGGCTGGGTCAATGCTACTGAGACCCCTGCCAGATGTGCAGGTGAAGGCACAATGGGATCTGAGGCTCATCCATACAATTGTGCTTGCTGTCATGCCATGTGTGCATGGTGAGAGGTGTGATTGCAGGATCAAGCAGCAGATCCCATCATGTCTTACTACTGGTGCAGGGGGAACCTGGGATCATGAAACTCATGCAGCTGGAAGCCCCCTCAGCAGACCAGGCTCCCAGCCACAGAGGTGCCCCTGGCCATACAGTCAATTAATGGCATCATAGGACCCAGCCACAAAGTTATTCCACAAAAAATGTGTCATAATTTTGTGGCTTATTCCTTGTTTTATGATGCCATTAAAGCTCTAACTTGTGGCTGAGTTCCAACTTAAGACGTGATTAACTGGTTAACCATGTCTTAAGTGTAGCGTGTGATGGGATGAGTCTTTAAAATCAGACATGTGTAAAAGGAAAATAAGTGAAGTGTTTATGAGCATATACAGCACCTATTTGAGAGAAAGTAGTTTCACATAATGGTTATACTCATATGGCAACACTACAGCATGCAGCAATAGAAAAGGAATAGTCAAAGGCTGACTGTCTAGACATCCCACCAACTATTACAGTGCAATTCTCTGCCATTTGAAATTATATCCAGTTATCATCAGAATGTAGAGTTTTCTTCTGAGGCTTCTTAGAAAATCTTGGAGGATTAAAAAGAAAACTACTTACAGAGCCAAAGTTAAAAATTGCATCATCTGTGACTATCTTCTTTCCACAAATTAAACACTCTGGATCAGGGATATTTCTAAGAAAAAAAGCACATTAAAGGAAAATTCTTGGAAATGTTATTGCGTTTGGGTAGCTAGTCAATTTAAAAAAAAATCCCTCATATAAACTTGTACTTCAGCCCAAACTCTGTTTTCAGTTTTATTGGCAAATCAACCAATTTGTGTTAGCACCACTGAGAGGGAAACTGACCCTTCACTGTCCACCCTTTAGGAGCGAATTAAAAAAGCATGACAATCATTGAACCTTATTATCCAGTGCCAAAGCCACCTTCAGCGTAACTCATTCAGAGTCACACAAGAGATTAATTGGGCCCATTCAGTCATTGAACTAGACTCATGCAGTGCATACTCCTCAACTGATTTGGAACTGTTCTCTACAACCAAGCAAAGTATTCAAAAATATTAGCGCCAGTGCCTATTTAAAAGGCACTGGAGTGGCAGTCCAGGAGAACAAAGTCCTCTGCTTATCCACAGAACAGGTACAGCAGCATAGGCTCTGGCACGGCACTATTTTCCAAACAGTCCTGCAAACATGTCTCTATCCAATCACAAAGGAATTATCTCCAACGTGGAAAGGGGCAGACTATCTTCCATTCACGCCTCTTCCATCTTTTGCCTCTCTGCTGGGCCTGAGAACAAGGAGACCGTGCAGAGGCAATTCTGGCTGCAATTTTTTGACTGTGGATAGTTGTTCATTGGAAATTGCATGGAGACCCACCAAGCAACTATTACAGGCTAAATGCTTTTGGTCACTACTAGCCTAGAATTGAATGGGCGATCCAGAGGTGAAATATCTGATTCCCAGTCTCCTGAAACATTCAGTCCCTCCCTGGGACAAGCATTTGCATTGGTAGATAAAAGGGACATAGGGAAAGTGATAGAACGGTCTAGCAATAGATAGGAAATAAATGACACTGAGACAGAAAAAGAGACATGACCCCAACTCAGAAAAGCCAGTACCCCAGCATTTACCCTCAGTATGGAAGACCCAGTTCTCAATTCCAGCCAGATTCAGAGCAAATAGAAATAAAATAAAAAATCATCAATCTTGAACAAGTCACAGTCCTCAGCCTTTACAACAGATATGAGATACAAAGGTTTAAAATATAATATATATTCTCTTCTCCCTAACTCTAATTTTTAAAATGTAACATAAATGTTAAAATAAGTAAACCTGTTGAAAACATTTCAGGATTTGGTAAAGGGTGGTGCGGGAGCAGTGAGCAGTACTGCAGGGGTGGCTGCACCCTGGCGCTCAGTTTCCTCTCCAGCAGAGTAGGCAAACTATGCCCCAGGAGCAGCAGCTGGGGTCTTTTTTTTTAAAGTCCCCAAATCAAGTAAGATTCTCTGCTCCCACCCCCCACCCTGTGCCCCCCCCTGCACCTCCTCCTTTCCCACTTTGTTCCTAGCAGCACCCCTTCCTACCACTCCACTGTCCCCATTCCTCCAATGGTCCTGGATGGGGCAGAGCACCAGAGTTGTTCCCGTCTGGCTGCATGGGGAGATGGGCTCAGCCAGGGACAGTGGCAGTGGGTGCATTCCCCTTCCCTGAGCCTGCTCTCAGGCCGGCAAGGGAACACCCAGAGGGATTGGGCAGGGAGAAGGAACCTCCTGTTGCCATACCCAACCAAGCCTGGCTTCCTCATGGCCTGCCTGGCATGGGTAGGAACAGCTCCCCACCCCCAGGATAGCCAGAGGCAGCAGATGGGGGAGGTAGGAAATGGGACAGGAGGGAACATGCCGTTGAGCTTGGAGGGGAAAGGAGGGGGAGAAGAAAAGAAGGGTGACTGCACCACTGCATCCCTCCTGGATCCAACCCCTAAGCAAATTGTATTAAACACTCCATCCAATATTTATGAGAGTAAATAAGTAATTTAGAAATAGAAATCTTCTTAAAAGTGTCTGGCACTTGGGCTTCTAAGTCACTAAGGCACTTTTTAAAATGCTTCCCTAAATCAATATTTAGTTCACAGTACAGCATCATTTACCCCAAAGGGATGCTGAAAAACATAACATGGTTCCTTATTTAAAAAGTACCAACAAGGGGTTCAATCCCTAAACCTTTCATTGACAGAGAGATCTGATTGTAAAAGTAAGGATTTCAGTTATATTAGGTTTGTATGAGTAGGCTCTGGGAGCATGTTTTCTCCCCACAAAGCCAGTTTCACAGATATTGTATAACCATTATTATAGCTAGTTCTATCACGTCCATTTGGCTCCAAACAGCAGTGACTAATCAGTGCCGATATTACCTACTCTTAGCTGTATGTCACTGAATTACCTTAATAACCATTCAATGCAGGACATGCAGTAGCTGTGATCACAAGGCACCTGTGCTGGATTTTCCAGAAATCTTTTGCACAGAGGACAAATATATTTGGAGAAAATGTGATCTATACACTTCTCCAGAGCTCTTTCGGAAACTTGTGAACTACTCGTGGCTGATGCACCAACATCTGATGTGAGGTCTTCAGAATGCAGAGGATCTATATTGTGGTCTGCCATGAAGATGGTCTGATGAATTCCCTATGAAGCTATTCCCTTTGCTGATTTGCAGACTGGCATTAAGTCTCAGACTCCTAGGTAATCATTCTGAAAATACAGGAAAAAATACATGACGCAGCTTTTTGTTTTTCTCATTGTCACTTAATTCAGTAATGAACTGCCTATTTAATCAACCTACACTACTAGCATTGTAAAAGCACATAAAATACTTCTGGATAGCATTAAAGACTTCTGGATAGCATTAGACAGTAGGTGGGCTAGTTAAATATATTCAATGCTGATTACTTTATATTGCAGGATTCTACTGCATATAAGGGGAAGCTATATTATTATTTTGTCTCAGATTGATACATAAAATATGTACAATTCCTCTGTCCTAAAAAAAGATTACGGAAGAGAAACAGATGAGGAAACAAAAAAATCCTTGTTAAAAAGGCTGCACCAAATTGATTTCAGAACAAAATTTCAGACAAGATTTTACAAAATCAAACAACAGAAATATTTAAAAAATGAAGTAATAAAAAACTACTTTGTTTTAACCCATGATTTAAAGTGACATTGATTTTCTGAGTTATGAGCAAAGTGTTAATACTTATACAGGAATTAAGAAAAAGGAAATACGCTCTCAAAATAGACATCTCTGCATAAATTGTTGACTGCAGAGAGTAGTCTCAGAGAAGTATTATATCTATTTCAGGGCTTTTCTTCCTAAACCGTCTACAGTCATAGGCTTGGAGGGCAGGCACGGGTTTCAAGAATGGCAGCAATAGAAACCAAAGAATCATGTGATGTAGCTCCTTTGGTTTTCGCAGCAGACTGCATTTCTACAGATCTATATTTCATTTTATTGTTTTTCAGTTCCCTAATTTCTGTTCCTCCATATTTCAGACAGCTGATGTCATTTTGTGTATTGTTCCTCTGGCCAGTTATCACACACATTCTGCTATTAATACTATTTTTGAACTGTGGACTCCCTTCTGTAAAGTTGATACACTACCCATCCTTATTTGTGCTTTCAGGTCATTTCTTTTTTATTTTTGCTACTGCAAGACAAGCATTTTTTAATCCTTTGTGATGCTGCTATCAGCAGGATGTGCAAAAAGCTTTTGAAGTAAGCTGACTTTGTATAACATTAAACCACAGAATAACCTAATTCGCTGAAATAGCATTAAATGACTGTGCAGAACCCACAAAACCAAAAAAAATCTAAGATGAAAAAGGAAAACTCCTGCCAAACAGCCAGCTTTAAACTCATGCATCTTGCATAGCTCAATCAGTATTTACAGTTGAGAACATGACACCTCACTCTGCTTAGGGATTTCTGCAATACCTGCCTGAAAAAGACTAATTCAGAACAGCTTGGACTTTTTCAGCTTGTAACTCCAAGCTTCCTGGTTTTGGGGGTTATTAATTAAATTGGAATAGTAGGAGGACGTCTAAGACAGGGGGCGGTATGCATGTACACCACTCAAGACCAGTTCTTGAAGGCCCTGAGACCCAGCAAGCAGGAGCCTGGTGACTACACCACCATGACCTCCTGGCAGCAGGACTAGTTAGAGCAACACTACTGTAGACTCCAAGGATTGCTATTAGGAATTTCCTTGCACATTGCATATCCACAATGGGGCTACCCACCCTTGCCTGCTACTATTTCATTCAATTTTGGCTCCAACACTATCAAGTAACATAGGTCTAAATCTCACTTACACTCTCAGAGCCTTAAAATTCAGTCTCTCCACAAGAGGATTTTACTGCCTTGCAAGACAAACTCCATTGAATAAAATGGAGTCCTCTGGGGAAGAAAAATAATGACTTTGCCTGCAGGAAAAAATGAATTTTTAAAAAGTGTAGCACTGTATCTAAAAAAGCTATAGCCCAAGAGAGAAATGATAGCAGTTGTCATAGTATCTGGGTATTTAAAAAACATAAAACATCTGTGTAGCCCTAAAACATCTCTCAGCCTTTGAGAAATAGTTTCTCTCAAATAATTAATTTATAAGACCTGCCTAAACAATGTTCATGCGCTCTCTTACTACTTCTAAGACAGCAGCAAACATTTCAAAGCCTGCGCCCATTCTTTTGAGTACCACCTGAAAAACCAACAAGTAAATGGAAATCATGTTTCTCCAGCGGAACAAGGGAAGAGAAAGAAAAATAGGGTTTTATAAAAAGCAAGAGAAAACTATTTAAAAAAAAAATAGGGGAAAAAAGTTGCCTATGCCTCGCCAAAATTTGAGCTAATTACATAAGATCTGGTGTTAAAATGTTCCTCAATGACACTAGAACATGCTTACAATCAAGGACCTAAGGAATTTTATTTAAGTACAGTACTATATTTCAGTATAGTAAGTAGTTCATTCTTAGCTATTTAAGCAGATGATCAACATTGGATTCAGCATGATTTTTTCAGAATTTTGTTCTAAGTTTTTTAATCTAAGATACTATCTTGATATTTATTATGTAATCACCGCTGTTGTAGCAATCTCTAGAAAGGTCACAGAATTAATAATATCCAAGACAAAATATATTTCTTTTTAACAACAAGCAATGGGAAACATTTTTCTAGTCTTGAAATATACACATTTTGCCTCTCCCCCACCCCAAAAAATTAAGTATCAAAAGAAACAAATACAAGAATATAAGAACAGAAATAGTTAGAACTGATTGAAAGACCATAAAATAATAGAATGAACATGCGTGTACACACACCTACACTCATAAATTATTCTCACTAAATAAATGTTTAAAGAGGACTTACCAAGCTGGTTAAGAACTGAAATTTTCTAGCATTGCAGCAGCAAGGGGAAACACTAAGTTTAATTTTCCTCCAAGTGGGATTCCCCTGCATCACATGTTCATCACAAATTGCATATGCCTATTTTGGTTTTTTTGGATTGGTTTTACACTGCCTTCTTCTAACTTTTGCACCAAAATACACAGCAGATCATTCAGAGGTCATTCTTCAAACTATTTAATTTTTCTTGCATGCTTATGAACAGTAAAAGTCTGATTTGTATACCGGTATACAGAAACATGACTAATTATTTGAGGATATTCTATGATCGGTGGGTTTCCATTTGAAGTATGCAAAGGCACCAGGTGGCAAACTACCTGCTTTCTTGTGAAACACAGAACAAGCTTGGCCAGATATTCTAAACCCAATAGAAAGCTCCTTATCTTTAATGCTAATCGCAATTAAAGAAAAGTACACTACGGCCACGTCCAGACAAGTGCGGACATTTGTTTCCCCGGGGACAAGTAGCAGTGGCAAAAGGTGTGCGCCTGCTATTGTCCCCGGGGAACACCCATGCCACGTGCACAGGTCACCCCAAGTGGGGTAGGGGAGGCTGGAGCCAACAACTGTGTTGGCCCCAGCAGCCTTACCTGGGGATCTGGGGTCTTGGGGGCTTAATTGCAGCCACAGCGTTTCTGCAGCTGGGAACCTGGCTGGCAGCCAGAGCATGGCTCCAACTGGCCAGGCTCTGGTTTTCGGTGGCACAGGCTGCTGCCACCATATGCTCTGCCCTGCTTTTTTTTGGTGTGGTTTTTTTTTTTTTTGACCCTGGGACCCCCCAGGGTCAAAAAACAACCCCATGTTGCAAGGTAGCAGTGTGAGGAACGCCTGCTTGTACAGTGTATGGCACTGCAAACAAGTCTGCAGTGCCATAAACCATACGTCCACACTTACCTGGATGTGGCCTACACTTAAGTGCATTATTTGTGTTACATATGAGACCATTTTAATCAACAATAGCTTTGGCCTCACAGCATGTCCAGCTGCACTGAAAGCAAAATTTGTGACCATTAGGAAAGTGCCTCATCAAATGACTGGTACTTCTATCATGTCTAAATCATAAAAGATGTCTCTTAAGATTATGAATTCTTCTGAGACTGCTGAAGCCCTTTGCGAGTAAGAAATAATAACCGTCTGTGCACATTCAACAAGCATCTAACGAGAGAGAATGTACACAGGCTCTTGTGAAAACTGGTGCTTATGACAATATTCTACAGAGTGCCTTTCATTTCAGGATGCTCTGCAAACCACAGTACTCACAACGCAATGCAGCTAGCCCTCTTCTGAAGCTGGCTGCAATATTATGCACAAACAGAGGGAGAAGGAGCATTTTGGCCAAAGACGCATGTTAATTTCTCCTACAAAAGGTGCAAGGGGAATATCACTGGTCAACAGCCACCGTTTGGTTTCTTAAAAGTGCCCGAAATGTTTTCACATTGTAAGTGACATGAAATTTTGTTCATTTGCTTCGAAGGTATAAAGAGTTAAGTTGTCTCCACCAGGATTTGAAGGCCATTATCAAAAGCTGTTCCATGTAATTAAAACATGAGAGTAACCCCTCAGGGGGGAAATCTAATTCAAATTAAAAGGCCATTATGTCACTTAGCTTTGTGATATGGAAATATTTTTTCTTATCTACAAATTATGCTCTTTCTGTATAAATTATCATGTATTAAGGATTAATTTTCCACACTTGTGTATTAGAGGTCAATATTTTTTAGTTACTGCATATCAAAGTACATGAAAAGCCACAACTGCTTCTGTAAGCAATCCTTCAGAGGAAAATGGGTCTCTCACTTGATAAGCCAGATCCTAGATATGGGTCCAAATATTAGAAGTGAGATTCTCCATTTCACTCAAAAGTTACACCGTACAGAGTCTAAGAAACAGGATGGGAGAGCACTAAGGTGGTTCTAAATCACCTTTACATCCTCTGGATTCTGGACTGAGGGGGCTATTGTGGCTCTTGGCATAATTTGCATATCATTATGAGCCATCTTCCATAGTTTTTAACTCAGAGAAAACTTCCCATCCTGGCTAAATCTGGGCATTTTAGAGCCCTTTTATGCTTCACCTGGAGTAAAGGGGCTGGTACAGGGGTAAAGATCTCACCCTTTGGTGCTCAATTTCCTACAAGATCTCAACAAATAGAAAGGTTAGATAAAAATATCATTTCATTCCAAACATAAGGAGATTTTTAACTCATTTTACCCTAGTAAACAGATGTGTGAGATGCCGCACTGTGTATTTCACCAATTTATATGAAGATATAAATGAAGAAAAATACATTTATTAGCTTTGTGTCTGGTAACTAATTTTACTAATATTATTTTCCCTTGTATTTTTGCCCAAGGAAAGGGTATGTATGTTCTAATAAGATACTGCATTTTAATGGGTCCGCCTGTTATTTTGGCACAAGACAGCATTTCCCATTGTTTTAGAGGCATTCCATTTCATTTTATGCAGCTTCAGATGTCTGTGCAATAATTCTGTAGGGACTTTAAATTCTCTCCCAGGTTTAATAACTACAATTCTAAAATGATTATATCTTATAATAACAGGCCTATTATGTATAAGCAAATAGGGCTTCCCAAATAAAACTAGCCATGTATATATTAAAGTTTGGAAAGAATTACTCAACAGCTAAGACCCCATGTTTTTAAAGAGACTCATGAACAATTTTATTCAGTCAATTCTCCAAGTAAATTAACAGCCAGAGATTAACAGATCTTCAACAAATCCTTCCATGGTTGCTACAAACTGTTTACAGGAAGGACAAGCTGTGTTTGAAGGCCACCACTCAATCCAAGTCTTGGAGTCTAATGGATACTGGTATCTATGAAGACAAAAGATAAAGCTCATTAGGGCTATGTACAGACAGTCAAAAAGCCTGAGGCTGAAATGATTCAATCTTTGCAGGTTAGTCTAAGCTGCGCAGATTGAACTGATAAGCAAATGAACAGACGTTCACTTTTGATTCCACAAATGCAGCCACATGCCTGCAGTGGCCCAGGCCAGAAGTTGTGGGGAGGCTACAGCATGCCTCCCTGCTCGACTGTGTCATAACCCAAAGGTATGATTTTGTGTGTGCTTCGGCACTAGAATTATCCCCACCAAATTGCAGCTTCGTTGCACGGTGGAGTTTTCTGCTGCAGAGGAGAACCCCGGTGCAAGGAAGAGTTTCCCGCCTATTTGTGGCTTCCTTTCCAGAGTGCATTGCTCAAGTTGCAAGAGAAATACATGGTGCAAAGGAGTTCCCGCCACCTGCATGCAAATTGGTTCCCTGTTATTGGCTAGTTCTAAATTATTCCCACGTGGCGGCTAACGATTGGCCTGTTAGCCATATAAGAGGCTTGAGTGGTTTCCGCCCAAGCTGAAGAGGACTCCACATCCATCTCGTGGGGACTCTGGGTACACGGCAGGGTAATAGAAACCCTGTGTGAGATTCAGAGGAGTTTGGCGACCTGATCCATCGCCCACCTCTTCCCGTCTTCGCGCGAGAATTTAATAAGCCGGATCTACAAAGTTCCTATTTTGGTGGCACGCTTGTCCAGAGCATCCGGAACTCTGTTTCCGTGGAGCCTAGCAAACTCCACGTGACCGTTCGTGTTGTCTTTGTCTGTAACCGCAACTCAAGCAAGTTTTCCAGCCTGCACCACAACCATCTCCGGTGTAAGTAAACAATCTTTAAATCTACCATTACGAGTTCTGTGCCTAATTCTAGCTTGACGCGCGCCCTCTCCGACCCCGCGTGCCCGGGCTGCTGGCCACAGCCCGCGTGCAGCCCAGCCTGCACAGACTGGAGCAGACAGCTAGGGCCAAGGCTAGCCCATCCACCCTGTGTGTGTGTGGGGGGGGGGTGGGGAGAGTTGCAGGAGAGGTGCAAAGCATCCTGGGATGCTGGGGAACTGGGAGTTAACTTGAATCTGGAGGGGATCTGGGATAGAAGCTCAATAAACCAATTTAACTTAAATCAGTTCAGTCTGATACTGAATCCATCCAGGTTTATCTTAAACCTGTTTTGGCCATTTTGAAAGCAGTTTATGTGCACTGAACTTCTGTTGTGTTACAGATTTGAACTGGTTTCCAATCACTTATACCAGTTTATGTATAATTTCTGTCCTCAGCCTAGTGGATAAGGACTGGAAAAATCCTGAGCAGGGTAGAAAATTCTGATGTCAAATGGATTCTTTTTTTCCTTATTCTCTTGTTTTAGATGTGCACAACTGAAGGAATTAATAATCATAAGAACACTGGGTAATGCAAAAATTGATTAAACAAGTCCTTAACTAAAAGACTGGATTAATTATATAATCAAGAGTATGATTAGAAATGTACAAAGACTTTGCCATTTTTTATAAGAATGAACAATGCTATGCTTTGAAGAGAGGTCAGCACTTCCTGATAATATACTTACTTGAAGCTGAAGCCAACTACAATTCGCAAGGCCTCTTTTCCCATGATCAAATACTGTTCTCCCGGATTCAATACCACATCAGAACAGGTGTTCTTTTTAACAAAAGTTGTTTCATCATTTTTCTTGACTAAAGCCCCCCCTGAAGTAGAAAGGATGAAGTTATTATGCAGGAAAATTTTATAAAATGAATGCTAAAGCAACTTCCTTAAAAATACCCACTAAAGCTCTTGTCAGTTTGGCCCATCAAAATAGGTGACTAATCAGACGTGCAGTGTCACAAGAACACTGCTCCCATGCTACAAGAAGAGGTGGCATGGATAGCTAACTAGAGCAAGAAGTTTTGAAAACCCAAAAGAGCATTACCATATCAAAGTATAAATGTTATGTGCATTGCTGACCCAAGCTGTGTTATAATCTCTACTGCAAATTAAATATCCAGTGCCCAAGCCAATCATATCCCATAGGAAGTTTCCTTTAGTCTTCATCTAGTTGTCTGTCTATACTGAGAGCAAGGACCACAAGTCTATAAACAATGGTAATAATGGTGCTGATACAAGTTACCATATTATAAATCTGGTGGTAAAAAGAAAAGAAGACTGCCGTTCTAAGATTCCTTCCTTATGAATTCTCAAAAGTAGCAAGTAGAGTTGTGCACCTTTATTAGAAGACCACTTAGTTTTACTGATTTTTGCAGTAGTGTAACTAGGATGGGCTGACCAGGGCAGCTCCCCAGGTGCTGACTTGGAAGAGGAAGGAAGAGGGCAGTGGAAAGGAACAGCTGTCACTGCAGCCACATGACTGTGCCAGCAGTGTGGCTGCCACCAGAAGTTCTCACTGCCTCTTTGCGTATCTGCTGCCCTAGGTGCCCAGCTGCATTGTGCCTCTGGCTTTATGTCAGATGCCTGAGTGATCACTTAAGACAACATTCACTATAAAGAAGCTAGGTAAGTTGATTACAATTAGTATTCTCACCTCTTTTATAGACATCCAGAAGAGTTGCTGTATATTTAATAAAACTACCTTCTTCTTTGTAAGACAAGATTTTCACTTTATAGACTGTTGGGAAAGGAACACAAAGTTTATTTTGTTTCAGGCAGAACTGGTTTTCTTTTGCTTTGCAGTACAGCCTTGTAAATCAACTACAGATGTTCAGATGGAGAATATTATATCCATTTGTAATATTCATTATTGGGCAAACTATGACACTTATAAGGCTAATCAAATTTCATGATTCAGGGTGCAGCTGGATTGCTTCAACCACACAAACATACAGATACTGAAATCCAACCATCTCTGGGAGACTGTAAATCAAGTGAGCAACCAATGCACAAAATGCTGCATAGCACTCAAAGTGAAGATTTGAACCCTCACATCAAGGTAAGCATTTTGGCCCAAACCCAAATGGACACCTAAATACCTCTGTGGATCAGAGCCTCTCTGTTATGACAAGTTAATATTTAAATAATTATTATTCATGCTGACTAGACATGATTTAATATTAGGTCCTACACAAAACACCCACACACAAAACTTTAAAATAACTCAGTCTATTAACTTTGGAAGAAAAGGAGGTCTAACCCCCTTTCATTAAACACTGGAAAAAATTTAGCAGATCAAATCAGATCACGGTTTTCATGCTGCAATTCTTAAGCTACACACCCACAATATTATTTATTTAGTGTCGTTTTAAATCTGAGTTGATTTTAAATGTGTATGCGTCTGAATTTATTCAGACCTTTGCTACTCAGAACTATGTCTGAAATTCTGACTAATCTCCAAATTCACATTACATCAGTCTTCTATTTAGGCTAAGCAATTTACAATCCTGTAGAAATGCGGAAACAAAGGAAATGAGGTAATAGAATTTCCACGTATTCAAAACCATATACAAAGGATTGTATAAAGGATCAGTGTTGTACAAAAGTCTATACTACTTGGGTTTTTTATCAGTAACAGAGAATACATGATTTAACATTTCATTGCTTACACAGAACTGTGGCAGCTATAATCACATTTTAATGTGGATCTGACACGACTCAATTGGGCAGGATTTTCTACAACTGAGAAATATTTTATATAACCCTGCCACAGACTCCCAAAAGTGCATATAAAAGTCCAGTGTGGTTAGCACATTCTCAGACTACAGTAATTATCCTTTCTGGTCAGGAAAGTCATGGTAGCATCCTGCTAATCTAAGACATGGTTAAATTCAAAATTCCTAGCATGGTTTTGACCCAGTCTTGAAAAGACTTCAGAAAATGAATTTCTTTTTACTTCCTGAGCTAACATTTAAAAATTAAGGAAAATACACACAATCAAGACATGTTTGAAGAAGGCAGAAATGCCATTATTTTCTTTTTAGCAGCAAAATAAAACAAATCCAAATGCATCTGACACCTTTTTATCATAATCTACCTAATTATATGTGTTTAGGTATTACAGCATATATTAACACATCAAATCAACACTGTTCTTAGATCCTTACAAAACCCAGATATCAATTATATCAGGTGGTCAAGCATGCTGTCTTGTGGGACTGGTGTACTTTTTTATTAACTTAAGGAAAAAGATTTTCCCCACCCATTTTCCTGCCTGTTTTGGAGGCAAATCAAAGATAAAAAAAGTGCTCCATGAACAAATAATCCAAGCTGGTAAGAAACCCTCAGGACTACAGACATACCTGAAACAGGGGGCTTTGCTTACCAAAGACAACTGAAACCAACAAAGGGGCTTTATTTTTTATTTCATTTTTACTGCATTTGATCAATAGGCAGCCTCTATAAAGAAAAGTAGGTCAAACCCCAAACAGTACTAAGTAATCATAACTCCCTCTGACTTTATCTAAGGCCATTGGACCTTTTCAGAAATCATGGCATTACTTAAGGATTGTCCTAATTATGTAATTTCTACAGAAAATATCAATTTATCCAGATTTCATTATTTTAATTTAGGGGGGTAAGTAGAGGTATAATCTGTTCTGTGTGTACACATGTTATTATTAATAGGAGTCTCATCAATCAAACAAGCAGAAATTGTTTTTTGCAGAAATATTGACAAATGATGCATTCCTTCAAGCAACAAAGCATGTCAAAGTTTGTAGGAACATCATGGAGGTTTTGATCATGTTGACTAGTCACGCACCATCCATTTCTTTTTCAGAAAGCATGTGCTGATCAATAAAAAAAATCTTACCATATGCAATGTCTTGTTGGCATGCAACTTCGTTCCGGGTATCAGCAGATACTGAGAGATCTAATTTCTTTCTCATTTGACTGCACTCCGCTATGTTTTGTGAAAGAGACGTATAGGTTAGTGTTAGTAACCCATGTCAGCACGAGCCCTTCTTTAACATGCCATGAAGTTCTATTTGCTCAGAACAGTCTACCAGAACCCAGAAGCACAGGAATTGAGAGAGAACATATTGGAACACAACTTAATCCTTAGATAGCAATGGAGGGAACCCTTCAATTCTCATTTACTCAGTGAAACTAGTGTCATTAATTACTATGTAGTTAAAACCCATGTATCTTTTTTAAGTTTAAAAAGTAATAATTGTATAATCTGTTAGGCATGCATGTATTTTTTAGAAATATAACATATAGCTCCTTACAGCTGTAATGAGTGCATTTACCAAGAAGGATCTCAAGTACTAAACTGCATCCTTCAAACAGTATTGAAATAGTGGTTTTAACAGTGTTTACCTTCCATGCATTTACACTCGTTTCCTTCACACAGCCTGACAAGCCTGTCATCTCCATAAGGATTATAAAAAATGGTGCACTTTTTATCTACGAAAAGGAAGGGGGAAGAAGAAAAAGAATGTAAAAAAACCCAACCATTTGTAAGACCAATTCTAAAATAATATTCAGAACTTGTCAGCTAGAAATGGGTGGTGCTTAAATGAACCTTATTATAATTTGGGTTAAATACTAGGGGAAAAGAAAAACTGTTGGGGTATGCTCAAATATACATTTCTAGCCTCTTCAAAAGGGGAAAGAGCTGCTGCTCAGGAGCCTACAGCAGCTATTACACTGCTACTGTTCACTTCAGTCTCCATGAGTCCATAGCTATAAAAATGAGCTATGAATAAAAGTCCTCAGAGAGCAAAAGACATGGATTCAAAGAAATGAAACATATACCTGGTGCATGATATTCATATACAGTGAACGTGGCAGGACTCAGCATTCCAACATGAAAAATCTCATTTATCCGGAACGCAACACAGAGGAATTTATTAGCTGGTACCTGTTTGAGAGATGCAGGGATTAAAGAGACTCCAAAAGAAAGCACTGTGTTACAAGGGAAATAAGATGTGCTAGCAACTGTAAATAAATAAAGGAAGTAAAACAGAGGATCTACCGAGTCTATCTGTATAATAATATGTCCATCCTTTATCTCATAGCTTCTTATCAACTGATCAACTCCAGTTGCAAGCTGGGGGGAAAAGAGAGAAAAGTTTTAGTTAGCTTATTAAAAGAAATTTTATTTAGACTGCCTTGCTTAAAACTTTTTGCTTAATGGTTTTAACACAATTTTGAGAAGCAAAACCTTTTCTACCAGTGTATATAACTGTCTTGTGAATCTATTTGTGAATGAACCTCTATTATAGGGAAGCGGTCCTTTTACCCCTTTGGGATAAAAATAATGAAATATAAAACTATGTATCTGAACATTCTTGAACTATACAAAATTTGAACCCAGATCCAAACATTGCCTTTGGCTCCCATTGCTGTAAGCTTCAATTCCCAATGCATTTAAAACTAGCAAGTTTTAAATTCAATCTTTATCCAGAGGAAACTGGGTAAGACATACGATAGGTAAAAAAACCCCAAACCCATGGAATTTAGACTCAAGCAAAATATTCCAGTTAAGGTGAGAGGAGTGTTTTGAAATAAAGTAGAGACAATGATGTAAACCTGAACCATTATCCTAAAAGAAATGAAAGACAATAAGTGCTGTCAGTTTTGTAAAGCAAACCAACAAAACCCCCACAAACAAGTAAAAATAAATTCTTCTTCAATATTTACAATATATAAATCTTCTTCATCTGCTTCCACTCCACTAGGCAAACTTATATCCATCACTGCATGTGCAGACTCTGACTGTGGTTCTCTCACACCAGGCTTGTACCTACAGGGAATTAAAAGTTAAATTTTGATAGAACTGAAATGGTAACACCAGCCTTCTTTAAGCATGGCCCTCAAAAAACCTTTGGGAGCAAATTCCGTCCTCGCTTGTGGCAACGTAAATCCATATGACCTCTAATGACTTCAGTTCAATGACTAAAGATTTTTATCAGTAAAATCAAGTAAGAATTTACCATTTTATTTGCATTACCATGGCACTTAGAGGTTCACTACAAATATAACATTAAATGCAGTCCTTGCCTCAAACAGCTACTGAACTTTGACCTTGCTCCAGTACAGTGCTATAAGGAGGACAGAAGAGAATTTACCATAGCTAGCAGGTGAAAACAGAATTAATTTTTTAATCTAATTTCTTTCCAAAGTAACCAAGATAATAATTGTGCTAATGTAAATTAAGGCTATAGTTTTGCACCCTGAAAAGACAAAACATGTCTAAGTAATAGTCTCAAAGTAACCTTAATAGGCACATACAGGGCCAGAATCTTGGCTAGAACATGGTCCCTCGATGCTGCTCTTCTGATTTAACTGGCAGGCTGGGACTTTAATCCCTGTGTAGGGA